GTTTGCCGTACGCCACGTAGTAATTGCCAGCTTGTGTGACAGATTGGCAATAATAGGCCACCGTATGCTATAGAAACCATATAGGGTCACGATTCTCATACCAAATATTGCCAAGGACATTTGATACGATGGTTGTCGCAGAGTACGGTAAAAAGTCTTTACGAAAACGTTTGCTGGTGTGTGACGAAATGCATCACCATGAGGGCATAATATCTGTGCATGGAGACCTTATGTTATGTTTTGCATTGTGCGCTGTATTTTCGCATTGGCTGTCATCAACATTTGCTGTCCAAAAACATTCTTGGCACCAAGCTTTGCGTACATATATGCACTTTTGGCACCAACCTTATCCACCAAGTCCGCAGGTTTCACCGCCCCTGAAATTCAGTTCAGTTTAGTTCAGTCTAGAATATTGTGGTGGTCATTACCCTGGTACTGATGCTGCCCCAGGGAGATAGAATCGCTTTTGAACTAGGGTGATAGTGGAAAATTCCATCGCAAAAAGAGCGTGCGGGAGTGAAAAAATCAAATCACAACAGAGGGAGCTTATGGGCTCGTGACTGATGCTTCAGCAAAGACATCTATTTCAAGTTCGCATGGACGTAATATCAGGAACCTGACGAACGATTTCGTTTTTTAACATCTTACTCCATTGAAGTAAACCAGAATACATTAACACGCGCTTGGGTGAGGGGTGGGGGGCAAATTGACCCCCCCCCCCCCGAGGGCTTTTCCCGAATGGCTTCTGAACGGCGCGGCGTAGTTGCGCCAAATTTTGCATAGCTGTAGAAAACTGCATAGCGGATTGTTTGACATATCGATTTTAGATATACCTGGCAGGGTCGCTGACCTATGGCAGGTCAAAGTCATCCCATGTTTTCGGCAAAGGCAATTTCTGGGGAATCGTTCAATCTGATACAACAACGGAGTGTTTGACGAAGACATACATCTCTGAGACGCTTTCTTAGGCACCACAAAATTAAATGAGCAAATTACGTTAATCTAAGGTCAGGTACGGTGGCCAGGCTAAGATCAAAACCAGCCTGACTTATTACTCTAGGGCTTGCTGTATGGAATAGTTTCTGGCGCTCATTTCGAATTTATTGACAGCAGGAACAGCATTATAGATCTTCAGTTGACTTCTTAGAGGTCAGAACAGGCCATTGACCTAAGATGACCCGGGTCGAACGTTTTGTTTTAGGAGCATACTGCCTAGCGCAATCTTTGTCGCTTATTCAAATGCAAAACGCAGAGCCGTCTTGTATCATTTTGGTCACCGTGACCTTCAAAGGGTTAAAACGAGGTCAATGACCTAAAATGGGCTTGTGACCTTTTGTTTAGAGGCAGTTGCCTAAATTCTGGGGGCGCTTTGGAGACCAACCTGGAATTTTACATTGTTTGACCTTGTTCGACCTGAAGATCATGACCAAGGAAGCTGAAACCCTAACCTAAGTGAGTTCACGTATAGGTCAAGACACCCTGTAAATTTTGTTGTATTTAGCTTTCTTAGTTCCCGAGATCTCAGAGGGGGGTCAAATTGCCCCCCCCCCCCAACCGGGCGAAGGGTGTCCAACCGATCAACCGGGCGCGTGTTAAAACATAGTAATTTCATGACAGTATTATGAGCATAACAAATTATTAGCACCAATAATATGATGCTGCACTTTTCAATTCCCTTCCACAGCACTTTTAAAACAAAACAAAGCAAAGGAATTCAATAACAAAATGACAACAGAAAATGCAACAAGCATAAAACACTCGAACAAAAAAAACCTTGGACTCCTACACATCAGCCCATCACCAAGCCAAACACAAAAGACATACTTCTGGCTTATGTTAAGATGGGGGTCAGGGAAAACAAACATTTTGTCACCGTTTCTTACAAATACCAACGCTTATTTCCATGAAAGTAGGCTATCCCTAACCCAAAGAGGCCTTACATCATCTCATCCTGTACAACCTGTTTGCATCAGAGCAGCAGTTGGGAGTTACTGATTCTTGCACAATTCCTATTGCACTTGCTATGCACTTGACCAACTTAACCCAACTTAGAGTGGCCCATATGATGAACATCATCTCAACTCACCTGTCTGTCGACAGCAGCACTTGTGATAAAAACATGATACTCAAAGCTAGTTTTTGGCTGGTTTCAACTGCATTTTTATTCAGATCAGTTGTGTGTGCTTGTTGACTTCAGACAAAGTTGACAACACACAAATCAAATCACTTTAAATCACTTTAAACAACTTATTTTGCTTGTCATGGTTAACCTACGTCAAGGGCAATATGGTTATGCTCCACAAAACAATCTCTCTCCTCCAAAAATAACATGACTTTTAGATGACCATGCCAGTATTGCTGCTTGCCTTTTCACCTGCAGCAAATGAATCCATTTGGGCTCGTTTATTCATACTTAATGACAAAGTTTGAGTTGTTGGTGTCACATTTTAAATGGGGTAGTTTGACTAATTGCTACATACTAATATTTAACTCATGTTATAATTACTATTCAGCTTAGAGTATCCCTGTGCTAAAAGTATAGTGCATATATACAGTACAGTCATTTGCCGGTCAGCAAACCATGACAACTATAGAAAACATCTGGTTAGAGCAGCCATGAGGAACCACTTTAAGAAATTGGGGGCAAAGAACCAAGAATATGGAACATAGTAAGCTTGTGGCATCATAATTTGTCTTATGGCAAAACTCGATGTATTAAAACAGAACATGGCTAACTCTGGTTACAAATCATGTGTTGAAAGCAGGTAAGGTAAGCAATTGCTTGGTGCACAGGAGACTTGCTGGCTACTTCCTGCTCCCCAAAAACAAAAATTCAGCACCTTTTGCATGGTCTGCTGGCAGACAGAGTCATCCGACTCACCTCCAAAATATGAATTCCAATCATGCGCACCAAACTTCGAGATTAAAATGCGAAACAAGCCAAAGGTGTGCACGATTAACATCTCCAGAGGGCAGAGTTTCGCCATCAAACACTTCTGTATTAGCTGCGTCAGGTCTGTCCCAAGACTCTATATGGCAGCCTTGCCTTGCCTTAACAGCCTTGCCAGGTAGCCTGGTGAGTCAGACGCTCGAAAGGCTTTGATTTATCATTATTGAGCACCGCCATGACCCAAAAAAAAAACGGTTAACCGAAGGTTTAAGAGGGCAAAAATGGCGGTAAAAATAAGTTCCGTGCTTCAATTGTCTCCTTCATTCCCTGTAGATCGTTCATATTTGGGTTTGGGCGTCTGGCGAATTAATCCAATTTATGTATGAAATACGAACAAGTTTGCGGTTGGAGCATCTTGCAGAGAAATTGGTCAAAATTTAAGCGGTAGATGGTACCTCTAAAGACAATCGAAAAGAAAGGAAGAAAAAGGTGGTATCACACTGGTAGGATACCAAGAAAAACAAAAGTAGCTTAATAAATGTAATGACTGGTACCTTTCTCGCAAAGTTTTGTTATCAGCTAGTTTGACTTAAAATATGCTGATGCAAGTGCTCAAATGGTGATATTCATCTTGCAAGTTTAAATTAGAAGGCATTTCTTGAATATTTCACTCATGCATTTCGGGAGCGATGCAATTTAGTGGTCAAGCTTCCTCGAGAAAAAGAAATACGTGGAGTACAATTCTCTACCAGGCCTTGCTGGTGTTTACACCAAGCTCTGCTTTCGTGGCGTGGTGGTGAGGGGATGGGTGAATAGGGGATGAATAGAAGAAGGTGAATAGGGGATGCGTGAAAACCTTGCATTTGGCGCACAGCTGCAGATTGTAATGCATTTTGTAAGCAAACCAAACTTAATGCGTGCAAGCAGCTGGAGTCGCTTGGGTTCTTGGGCTTGGAGGTACCTCGCGCCCTTGCTCTGTGCATACATGGACATGATTCAGATGTAGGTGAGGCAGGACATAGCCACAGGTGCCCAGGTTCTGTGGAGCCTCGTTTATTCTTGGTGGTTTTAAGTGAGCTCGATTTGGATGACATCTGAAAACCTCAGAAAGGGAAATAGGGGTTCGACATATGCGATTAAACAACGTCAGGCAGGAGTGAAAAATTCACATAAGATATGGGGAAAAGGAGTGAAAAAATTCCTCCTCATGGAGTGTTGCTTTACACCCAAAGTCGGCAATTCTAGGACACTGCTGCCCTGTGCATTTTGGTGTCAAGGTGTTTGCTGTTTTAGTTGAATTCCTTAACCAATGAACACAAGTGTTTTCACGCCGTCTTCATTTTAAGGTTCTGATTCTTGGTCGGGTCTATGTAATCTGTTTAGGTCTTGCATCACCGGCATGACTTGGCGGCAGCGAGACCAAGGCTAGCGTCATTTTTTCTTCAGTTAGCAGCAGATTGCTAAAACATGACCTGTCGCATGAAGATGCATATCTTCACAAGCACACAAGCTGCAAAAACGGTAGTTAACCCGGTCTGGATAATTTTATAGTCATATTGCAGATCATTTGCGGGGAACATGCAACTATCCTCATCCTGCTGTTTGCCTGATGGATACTCATCCGATGCATGATTCCCCATTATGGACTTGACAAAGCAGGCGTCTTGTCACTGCCCTCCAAAAGGGCCCATACAGCACGAGCACATTTGAGCGAATACCTAAATTTGATATTTGTCGGCAACATTCTATGACTTATCATTTTAGAGGCCTTACACTGAGTCTTTGAACACCTTACACTACGCACATGCCGTCCTTTATGATAACTAAGGGTATACTCGAGATGGATAAGATACCTCCGTTTGGATTCCAAGACTTAATTGCGTGTGCACTTTGCCGTCTTGCTAGTGATATAGTTCCACGAGCATGTCAAAACAATATACAAGCTATTTTGCGTGTGAACTGCGGCAGCCACGCCAAACGTCTGTGTATCCGTTTTGGCCATGTTCATCTGTTGATGTTTGCTTGATCGCACTTGGTTTTCGGCTCCTAGGTTTTACTCTCCGCTTCACACGTCGTTTCTTCTTCCTTTCGAAAGCTTCATACGGGGCTGTATTTTTTGATACAAGTATCAACACACCGATATGTTTAGTTGAGTTTTTCGACATTTTCTTCTGCATTTTGATCAAATGCGGTTAGCACGATAAACGTACGACAATGATTTGTGTGTCACTTGAACTAGTTGATCATCACAACAAAACATAACGCCACATTTCACAGCACATCAGAGAATACAGTTGGTCAAGACTCACGAGATACAACTACACATGTAATAGGGGTCACAATGAGGGCCGCCGGGTTTTGGCGACTTCTCGCGAAATTCACGGTCAATTCACGGCTGTATGAATCACCGTACCTTTCCGTGGTGTAGCACCGTTTCATCAATCGCTTTTGATGAGCATATCTCCGTGGACAATGCGACGACAGGTCTGCTGATGCATTAGCCGGCCTGAGGTCCTAGCTAGCGCATAAGGCTCGTGTGTGGGAGGTACGTATACATCAATCGCATTTACAAGCGCAGTATCATGTTCACGCAACCGTCAAAATGTTTGCTATAAATACGGGCGTAAACAATTCATGCATTAGTACATGCATCTCGACCATACGCAACGAGAAAACAGGATGTATTTTTGTTCTGAATGGAAAGAAGTCCGAGCCCAGATAGCTGGCTTCTGTGTCAGCACGTTCAAATGTAGATCAGTGTTTTCCGGACAGCTTCTAGTTTCGTTTTCGGTCGACAGGTGTCGCGGCGTTCACGCTGTACACCAGCTCATCCCCCATGCTTCTCAGCTCCTCAATGTCTGGAGGTTCATCTATGGTGTAGTCAGAAGCTGAGTCCACGGACCACTCACGGAACTGGCCAGAGAAACCAAGAATGCTCAGTAAGCATCCATGACAAGGGATATTTTGCATAAAATGAATGCAGTTGAACACATATCAACGTAACCAATTTACAAAACAGCGCTTATCGATGTAGTAGTAACGTACAAGCACGATAAAAACATCAAAATAACAAGTAGTGCCATAATCAAGCCCTTTTTACAATCGAGCATATCAAAAACTGTGTCGGTATCAAAGAATGTGATGGTCATGCACATGTGTGATAATATGTCTTGAAGGAGGTGACTTTAACACGGCCGGAATCAGCTATGCTCCTCGCCGTTGAGGGTCAGGTCCACGCATCCTGTGATTTAAAGTGATTTATAATTCCTGTATAATTCCAGTAAATTCTTCCGCATCACATGCAACCTGCTGCTGGTGACGACCGACACAGGCAGTCTTCAAACTCGGCAACGAAAGCGCGTAAAAGAGCGAAAGTATTTGCTAGTCGACTCTTTGCACTGGCAGCCAGCTTCACTCGGTCCCTTGAGCACCTGGTTGTCTACTCGGTTATAAAAGGAAACATGCTGTCTGGATAGACTGCTGCTTGCGAGACTGCCAGAGGCAAAGACAACGCATGGATTTGGTTCTAAATAGCCCTGGTGGTAATTAAAGTGCCATTTACGCAGTTATTATGCTTGAAAACAACATTAATGAACGCATAAATTGCTAGCCAGCAAACAATATCCTTTTCTATCATCAAATTTATTTCGCCAGACGGCTTGCTGAGGATTCTTGAATCCGAAAATCCCTTGTCTTAAGCCGCGCCAAATCCGCAATGTACGCGCATATGTGACACGGACCTAAGCTTGATGCTTGACATTGTAATGTTGTAAGAGAAAGGAAAGGTGCGATAGCCATGCTTGCCGCAACATCAATCACCAACAGCTAATATATGAACACATGCATTCGGGAAAGATAGATTCCCTTTAAGAGAATGTTCCACATTTGAAAGTATTGAAGCAAGCATCAGCTGTGATCGTACAGCGCTTGTGCAATGTAAGGCAAGGCAAGTATCAAAAGGGAATTAAGATGATCCCTTGCAGTAATTATATACGCCATATTCGTTGAGTAGGCTGCACTTTCGATGAACTTTCGGTCACGAATCTTGCTCACACAGTCAAAAAGTGTTATCGCCGGCCTTATTTCATCAGCCATGATGAAACAACCCCACTTATAAATATTAGAATCCTTTTAAGTGAAAAAAAAAAATGCTGTAGACAGCAAATTTCTTTAGTTAGTAAATGCGTTCGTCATACGTCATTTTTTGATCAAAGCGTCAAGGCGTCATCGTTCTTTGCACAGCATTGATTGAGAGCCAGTTGACGGCTGTTATATTTGGAAATCGTGCTTACGAACGCCAGGTATAAATGACTTGACAATAACATATTCCTTTGGACTTGATTGTCGCATGGCCAAAGGAAGGACGGAATTTGAATGGCGTTAATATAGCATCGTGGATGCTTGGGTGACCTTGAAATAGTTTGCACGAAAAATTATGTGCACCTTAGTGGGTGTATAGCTCAGAAACTACAGGAGTTCAGGTTTTAAAAAGAGTAGGGCTGTGAGCCGCACCGAATAATCTTCAACAAGGCTATGCCATTTTAAAACCCCATACGAATGTGGAGCACTCCCTCTAACGGAACGCAGTCCTACCTCGCAGAGGGTGCCGATGTAGCCGGGGTGGCAGGCACAGATGGCGCCACCGGCATCCGCCACGCATAGTCCGTGGCGACACGACGCGCCGTCGGCGGTGCACACTGAGCTGCTCGCCCGTCCGCAGCTGCTGCCTGCAAGGCGGAGCGATGTGGAATGCGGCGTGGTGCCGTGCGGGGATGACCGAGCTAGAGAGGATAGGTGGTAGGGATTACGGACCAGGGCTCCACGCTTTTAAGAGATGATTGGGGTGGGTGACCTTATTTGACCAGCTGAATAGCCCAATGGCCCCAAGCTGTCCTCCACAAACTACGGGGTTGTAACCAAATTGTGTTCATGGTCGCTTAGCAAACACAGACGTCTCTATTTAGGTACTTTCTAAAAGTACATTGATATCTGCCTATTGAAAGTTATTGATTAAGAAAGCTGACCATGGTGTCTGGCGACTTGGAGGGACTAGTTCGCAAATACGGCCACATTCGGAGGTGCACAGTTTGGAAGAGCCGTCTATAGCCTTGAGGTCAGGTTTGTGGCTCATGTTTGGCTTTGACGACGGTTCTGGTTTGACCCTATCTTACCAGTTCGCCGGGACCAGGTCGTTCCGCCAGCGCAGTATTGGCACGGATCTAGAGGGTTCGCGTCCCGCGCCTTGTAACACAGATCTGCCAAGCAAACCGAATAGCGCTTTTCATATGCTAGCTGTTGTGATGAGAAATGTCGGCCTCCTTCAAATCAATTGAAGCTATGTTCTCACATGCAAAAGGCTAATTCAGTGAGCTCTCTTGGTGCGCGACACAAAACGCTTGATTAAGGTTACATATATGTTAAGTTAATATGCTTTGCACATCATAGATGCATGATTAATGTATGATCCCATATGAAACTAACCCCCCCCCCCCCAGGTGTTTCTTTCGCTTAAAAAAATGAAGGGTAAGAAACCGTTCATAAATGAAAGCACGTCAGTCATTTCAGAACGGTATACCAAGTTGTAAGGTTTACCGCTACTCTGTCCCAAGGAAATCTTGCCAGGCTCGGTACAACTACCGTATAGGCCTTGAGAAGTGTGCTCATGTGCATTTGCTCATTGCCTACCTGCGTGTAATTTTGTTTCTATTGTTATAAGATTTATTTCTGGCACCTGCAGCACAAAAGTTGCTCCAAAGCCGGTCAGTCGAATGTCTGCAGATATGGAAAATTGCTGCTGCCCCACAACAACCTCAGATGGGCTGATTTTGTCGTTTATTGTGCTGCACAACTAATCTGTCAAGAGGTCCTGTTCCTTAACGATGACTTAAGATCCTTTCTGATCCTATAATTTCCTCACCAGCTCCAACACAGGTGACTGCAAACTTCCATCAAGCCATCTTAGGAACAAGAACAGACCATGCATGTACAAATGTACGTGCATGTACATTTGTACATGGACAGACTACGATGTACAAAATAACCTCAGTTGTTGACCCAGCTTCTTAAAGTTGATCTATTCTGCCTTGTTTTACCCAATATAATAGGGTACACTGGGTAGAACCGAGCCGAACCAACAACACAAACCACACCGGATGGCCTTGACGAATTGGTGTTATTCGGATAATCATTTTAGAAATGACTTGTATATATATAATTCCAATAATGTGAAAAGGTCCCAGTTCCCGAGTTCGTTGATAAGAAATACGTTATCATGATATCAAAAAGAAATCGGTTGCCATTGCTGCAGCTTTGTCAGTTGGGCGTACCCCTTGATGGCCTGTTCACATTTGCTCCGAGGCTATAGCTTCGTGGATAATGACTGCGCCAAAATCTCATTTCTGACCTCTCATACAGCCTGGCTTTTGACGGTGGGTGTTTCTAAGATGAGGACGTAGACACATCTTCAGTTGATTTCAATAGGAAGGGCACTATCGGATGGGAAACTGCAAGCTAGAAAACGTGAGATGACATGAGCCCAAAGTAGACAGATACAGCAGGGGTATTGGTTGCTCTGCCAGAATGGGGGGGGGGGGGGGCGTGACCCTTTTTTTGCTTATTTTCAGTAAACGCCTAGTCAACATTGACCCTTCACATTGGCGATATTTTTGTAGGCGTAATGCTATTATTCTAAAAGTTAGAGGCCTCCGCCCCTCCTGGATCTTCCAGTCATGCCGTCTTACCGTTTTCCTGTAAGACGGGAAATATCGAAATGCTTAAAAAGCTCTTTGATGGAACTCTATCAGCATTCTATACTCAGCATTTTAGGGATACCCTGGCAGTTGGAGACCTAGCAATTTTTCATTGCCTTCAAGTCTAGTGAGGTATTGAAAGATGGAAATGTTGTTGATAAGTGCGTCCCAGACTAACAGTTTAGTTCGGAAATGTCTTTAATAAATCGTTCCAATCCCTGAACAGTCCAACTCTTGTAAAATCTGAGAGCTATCGGGTATTGGACGTTAACTGCTGTGAGTCAACTGCTGTAAGTGACTTCAGCTGTGTGTCTGTTAAGAAGCCCATCCTATATTTTACGCATCGAATACGCATTTAACC